TGTGTAGCATTGGAATAGACTGCCCAGGGAAGTGGTTGAATCACCATCACTGAAGGTCTTCACGAACCATGTAGATTTAGAACTTGGTAGCATGGTTTAGTAGTAGACTTTACTACTAGCTTAGAGGTTGGATTAGGTGATCCTAGAGGATGAGGTGATCTCTTCCAACCTGAATAATTCTATGACCGTACTTGTGTTCTGTACTTAGTCCATTCCAACAAAGTCAGGCAGAAAAGCCAGGAGGCCTGCATGGATGAACAAGGAGCTTCCTACAAGGAAGACAAGAAATTGTTCAAGTGTGCAGGGATTAGTTAGAAAAAGTTAGAAAGGCCAAAAACCATCTGAAATTGAATCTAGAAACGGATACCAAAGACAACAGGAGGAGTTTCTGTAGGCACATCACTAACAACAGCAAGGGTAGGGAGAACACAGGCCCCACTGCTGAAGGAGATAGGAGACCTGGTTACACGGGACATGTAAAAGGCTGAAGTATTGAACATGCCTTTTTTGCCTCAACCTTTACTAGCAAGGTCAGCCTTCAGGAAACCCAGGTTCCAGATTCCACAGGAAAAAATTAGAGCAAGGAATATGTATCCTTGGTGGAAAAGTATAATGTCATACCTAAGCAAAACATGGGCCCTGTGACCCATGAATGCTGACAGAGCTGTCTGATGTCATTACAAGGCCATTCTTAATAATCCTTTATTAGTCATAGTGGTTGGGAAAGTGGCCTAAGGACTGAAGAAAAGCGAATGTCATTTCTATCTTCAGGAAGGGCAAAAAGGGAACTACAGGCCAGTCAGCCTCACCTCCATCCTTTGGCAGGTGATGGAGCAGCTAATCCCAGGCATGTGAAGGACAGGAGTCATCTGTAGTAGTGAACAAGGATTCACCATGTGGCAGTGGAGCCTGACCAACCTGATAACCTTCTGCAACAAAACGACTGGTCTGGTGGAGAAGGGGAGAACAGTGGAAAATATTTGCCTTGACTACAGTAGGAATTTAAACACTATTTCCCATAAGAACGTTATAGACAGGCTGTTCACGTATGGACAAAATGAATAAAAAAATGAAGTGAACTGAAAACTAGCTGATTAGCCAGGCCCCCGGGGTCATGATCAGTGGCATAAAGTCCAGTTGGAGGCCAGTGACAAGCAGAGTACCCCAGGAGTCAGTACTGTCACCAGCCTTTTTCAACATTTACATTAATGATCTGGATAATGGGGCAGCATGCACCCTCAGAACGTTGGTTGAGGGAACTAAACTGGGAAGAATGGTGTGACCTCAACAAGCAGGAGAAATGGGCTGACAGGAATCTCATGAAGTTCAAAGTGAACTGCAAAGTCCTGCACCTGGGGAGGAACAACCCTAGGTACCAGTATATACAGAGGCTGCCAGCAGGTCAAGGGAAGTGATCCTTCTCTACTCAGCCCTGATGAGGCCATACCTGTAAAATTGTGTCTAGTCCTGGGCCCTCCACAACAAGAAAGACATGGACATACTGGAGAGATGCCACCATGAAAATGACAAAGGGACTGGAGCATGTCTCCTCTTAAGAGAAGCTGAGAGCACTGGGACTGTTCAGGGTGGAAAAGATGAGGCTCAGCATAGGTCTCATTAATGTCCACAAACACATGAAGGGAAAGTGCAATGAATACAGAGCCAGGCTGTTTTCAGTGGTGCCCAGTGCTAGCACAAGAAGCAATGGGCACAAACTGAAACACGGGAGGCTCCACCTGAACATCAGGAAGCACTTCTTTACCATGCAGGTGATTGAGTACTAGCACAGGTTACCCGGATAGGTTGTGGAGTTTCCTTCCGCTAGATATATTCAAAAGCTGTCTAGACACGATACAACAGCTTGTAGGTGGTCCTCCCTGAGCAAGGAAGTTAGACCAGATGAACTACAGAGGTTCCTTTCAATATCATCAATCCTGGCGTGTGGTTTTTTTTTTTTTTTTTGGAGAGAGAGTTACACTTGGATTTTGAGAGAACATTAACAAATTTTATAATCGCAGCAACAGGAATCTCCTTCCAGCGACTCAAATCCATGCGAAGTTTAACAGGAGTACATTGAAGAAAGAGGAAGGGAAGGTTAAAAACATTTATATCAATATCCTCATCCTATATTTCAGTATTTTCCCTATCAAGATAAATAATTATAAACCAGTTTTATGCTATTGCCCACTCCCCTTTTTGTTTCATACTACACTACACTCAGTGTAGCACCAATTACAGTACATCAATTCATTAATTTTGTCACAGGGATTAGTGTTCTTGAAAGAACATTGTATATCTTGGCATGGTTTAACCTGCTGCGCACTCATCACAGATCAGTATAATTTGTCTTAATCACTGAAAAACAAACTGAGTAATAGATGTGTCCATGCCCTCCTAACATGGTACCTTCGTTTCAAAGCACTGGAAGGTATACATGTGTGACTCCTGTATTTTTATGCACTGAGCAGTTTTTGGGAAAAAAAAAAAAAAAAAGTATTAGTAATCCAGATCCACTGCCTGCTTATGCAAGACATGAACAGAGTAATAGAGTGAGAAAATGATGGAATAGAAGAGACGGAGGATACTGAGGAACAGTGCTGAAATACAGTAGCCTTTCGGTTCTTAGGACTTTTGTGCTAGAAGAGGCTTAATCACAACATCAGTGCATTTCTCCAAAGACCAAACCCAAGAAAAATTTGGAGTATTTATTGACATAGGACTCGATTGGGTACGTACTGCAAAAGACTATTCAGATCTCTAGATGCACTGAAGATTTGCTTCAGCTGATGTTTTAAAGTTAGGTTCGGTTACCTAATACCTCAGAACTGTTCTAATCACAGGAAACAATTTATGAAACACTATGGATACACCTTTGAAATCTTGAACTTAGTTTTGAAGTGATTTTATTTTACTTGGAATTGGACTTCACATGCAAATGATTTCAATAGCTTTGTTAACGTAGACAAGATTTCTGCTTTGTTTGATATAAGAGCAGCTTTTGGAGTGTTTTCCTATGATGAAATAAGCCTTCAGAAGAACATGAAAAAAAAGTACATCTTTCTCATGATGTTAGTGCAATCATAGATGCTTTTGTGCTTCATCAGGATTTTACTCTCAGAAGTCTTCCAGTACTGTGCTTCAGTGCACAAGAGTAACTTGTATTGACTCAGAAAGATTTTCCACTCTGCTCTCTTGGCTCTTTGCTACTGTGAGTTGCATCAGGCATTCAAAGTTTTCAAAAAGTGAAATGCCTTCAGCAATACTCAGAATCATCAGTATTGCAGGAGAGAATGAGCAATTCCACTACAACATAATTAGAGTGAGAAACATTATATTGCTGAAATATTATCACAAAGCTGACTTATTTATCAAGTGTTACTTCTCAGAACTCATACATACTATGGCATTTTTTTGTTTGGTTGACTTTGTTTTTTATTTTGTTGTTTGGTTTTCTAGTATAATGAAGCATAACTTCCCATAATTTCCTCAGTTAAATTCTGGCTTAACTGGACAAAAAAATCAAACTTGTACAAAAAATTGCTTTGGAGGTTAGTGTCATATACCAATGTTTAAATTCATACAATATGAATAAATAGTTAACTCTTTTTGTAGTCCAAGCAATGGAGGATTTGAGAAGAAAGAGAGCAGTGTCTAGAATGCTAATCATTTTAAATCATCTGGGATGCCTCTTATGGCTTATTTCTCCAGTGTGAAGTTCAAGACTAGCAGTGCGTTATAGGTATATGCACACACACAACCTTGTCATGCAGACACTTTTTAAAACAAAGGGAGATGTCAGAAAGACTACATTCAATACCAGAGGGACTACCCAGAAACTGGCAGAGAAGACAGCTGAACAGAACCTAATACACTTCAGAAATGAAAGCAGATAAGTGTTGAATTGCAGTTACGCAACAATGTGCAACAAAACCTCAGTGAAGTGATAACTATGCTAGCAAATGTACAGAAAGAAAAAATCCATTGTGAAATAACATAGCAGAGCACACCAGGTACCCCCATCCAAGTTGACATCCCAGCAAGATGTGAGCAAGAGCTCTCTCAAAGAATAGATGGAATTCTACCAGGTTTGGCTGAAGCCAAAAAGAAAGAAAGAAAAAAAAAAAGCAGAAAACAAGTTTAAAAATGCTCTACTTCAGAGCAGGAGGCAGAGGGTGGTCTGTTTGTTCGTTTTGGTACTATAGAAATGAAAAAGACATGTTCGGAAACTGAGTGATAGCCTCCATGTTCAGGTGTACAGGGCACTAAATATATGGATGTCAGTTAAAACCCACTGTAAGAAAACCTGTTTTTTTTTTTTTTTGTATGCTTTATTTTTAAAAGACATACAAAATAAACAACAAATAACAATACAGGACATTTTCTTTTCCTAATGGAAAGAATCAAGCAAAGTCTCAAGGCCTGTTTGAGCTAAGTTACAAGAGCTGTTTCTGAGGCATTACCAATAGCCTTACTTGAACATCTTCTATTGACACATTCTTGCTAAGGAAGGCTTCTTGGTAGAGGTGTGTTTTATAGGACAAGAGGTAGACAGCTGTTTCAGAAAGGACTGCAATACTAGAATATACCAGCATAAACACCTAAAGTTTGGGGATATTAACAAAAAAATAAATAATCACAAAACGTGTCATTAAACACAAATCACCCAGTGTTTTCCTATCATGCACTCCCTATATTTTAAAGAAATAAATCCCAGGACAATTCCACACCACTAAAAGGCTGCAGGTTGACCTTCAGAAGATAAATCACTACATTTGAGATCCATGTCATATTTTATGGACCCTCTGTCTGTGTATTATCTCTAAGTTTATGATGTTCAGGAATGTTTTCTTCTTCTGGGGAGTACAAGGTTTGAGGTAAGCGAGGAAAAGACAAAATGTAAAACAATGCTCTTGAGCTTTTACTATGGGTAAAGTGGTAGCTAGCAAGTTTTACGTCAGCTGGGGCATACCGTAGTGAGTGCCCTCAGTAATTCCTTTTGCTCCTCAGCTAGTCAAGAAACACAGCCCTAGATATCTGAGTCATTGCTTCATATCCTGCCTCGCTTCAGCACTTCCTCATTTAAAGCAGAGGCTCCTCGGAGCAATAGACTGTACTTTCTCGATATCCTGCCTGAATTTGTTGAAATTCTTCATAGGTAAGACATCAAGTTTTCTGTCTTGTATTAGAAAGTGCTAAAACTTCAGTATCTTGACTGTCTTTTTGGCTCATGACTTTTACAATTGCTTCAGATAATGTGGGTGTGGGAAAAGAGGAAAAGACAATTGCCTGTTGTTCTTGGTGGTGGCTTTTTTTTGCTCCCCCATCCCCCCCGTGAATGGCAGCTTGCAGGAAAGGAAGGATATAGATTGAAAGGCTCCTAGTTTAAACTTTCCTGCTCTGCAGTTCCATTGCCTTTAGCGGGTCAGGGTGCACTTACAGACTGCAGTGATGAAAAGTGAGTATAACGCTACTGGAAAAACAAAAGGCAGCTTTCATAGCTTTCACCTAACACTCCAAAAAGATCTTGAACTAATTTAGGCGTGGAGTACAGTTTTGCTTTTAATGGCATTCTTTGTCTTTTGGTGTTCTTTACTCGTTGAAGTGGCATACCAGCAGAAGAGACTGAATGCTGAATTTCAGCTTAGTGAACTTCAGAAAATGAACACACACACCACCTCAAAACATGAGCCAAGAAAGAGAAAAGGCTCAGGCAAAAGTTTCAGCATATTAGTCACACCAAAAATGAAATCTCATGTAACTTTTCAGGTTCTGAATAGTCATTGTTTATACGCTGACAGCGTGTAATAAAACCTAAATAGCTTCATGTAAGGAGTGAAAGGAGTCCCATTACACCGAGGTGCACACACACAAGCATAAAGTCAATGCCACACAAATATGCAGCATAAGGTCTCTGTTTGCAGCTGGTGAAGAAATCACATATGAGAGCAAGAGGACAAGAAAGTGGGCAAGCCACTACTAGATAAGGATTTGCTCAGGTCATAAGAGATTATATTTTTTGTGACAAGCATTTATAGGCTTTGGAAAAATATAAGATACTACAGTACGGGCAGGTTTCAGAACTTGTTGCAGTTGAGCTTTGATGAAAGCTTTATTAGATTAAATGAATAATAATAAAAAACCACAAATGCACATCGCAGCCATACGGGAGGGCATTTTAAACACCTTTTTCCCCATTAAAATCTATTTCTACTCCTGATAAATTGTTCCTTCTCCAGAAGAAACTCTACTCCCCAAGGTAATGCAGGGAGAGAAGAAGGTAGAAGACAAACATGGGAAAATGCAAAGCAAGTAATGTCACGAAGCCAAATTTCTCCTGTGTGAACATGGAATTCAGGCCCCTTAAGAGCCAGCTCATGACAGATAATTTTCTTCTTGTGACAACTAAATTGACAGAAGTATTTCACCAGTTGACTGAAACTGAATCCTGAGGGCACAGTGAAACCACACAATGACAGATTTTAATCTGCACCAAATCGAAAAGCTTGCTATTGTTTTGAGTTTAACTGGATAATAAAACTATAAGTTATGTAAAGGCAAATATTAGCACAGATTTTTCCTCTGCAGAAACTAATGGGCTATTTGTAAAAGGTGGGAAGAGGTGGTGGGAGTGTTTTATCTTAAAGCTCCGTTGTTGTAATGCAAACAAGACCACCAGAATATTCAGCTGTATAACGCAGAGAAGGGGAAAGCCTTGAACATGCTGTTTCCAATTATGAAGGCCCTAAATTAAAACCACATGGATGTATAATACTGATCTGGTGGAAGCTACCTTCTTCTTGATGCTTCATCTGCCAGAGAAGCCACTCCAGAGAGGATGGGGGGAAGGGAAGGAGAAGAACATTTTACTCCTGCAGTAAGAAAAAAAACAAAACAAAACAAAACAAAAAAAAAAAAAAACAGCCAGAGACAACTGGGGGGAAATAATAAAAATATAAATATTTTTTTTAAAAAGGCAACCACTACAAACACCAACAACCGTACACACCAGCACAGCCAACTTTTTAGGATGCTTGTTGGCTTTTTCCCATTGTAGAAGGTTTCTACAGCATACAGCTTTTCTATTGTCTAAAATTCAACTCAGTTAGAATAACATGATTTTATTTTCTCTCCCACTAATTTCCCTTCCCTGCCAGAAGTTTCCTCTTTTGATTCCTGCCTCCTCTCTGTTCCTCGACTCTTGATTTCCAAACCCTTTCTTGCTTGAGACAAGAAGGAAACAGCAGAAAATCTTTGCTTTCTCCAGTTCAACAAGACTGCAACAGTACCCACTGTTTCTGAACCACCAATATCCAAAGCTTCAAGGAAGTTGGGGGGGAAGTATTAGCAATTTTAAGGAAGACTCCTATGCCAGTTGGTATTTAAGAATCCTTTGAAAAGGTCAAAATTGTTTCTGCCTCTCACCCACAATCTCATTCCTCTTCTGAAATGTTTTACAGCCTTCCCCTCCCGCTCAGCAAGAGGAGCCCATAGAGCCAGCCCTCCCCTGCAGGGGCCGAACACTCCTACACATACACAGAAGGTGGCAGTCCAATTCAGACAGCTGGGACGCTGCAGGCATATATCAGCAGAGAGATCTTCACTTTAACAGGTGAGAGAAACAAGGGGAGGAGAAAAAGTAGAAACTATCCACTGAACAATGAGGTACTTTTCTTATTCAGTCCACTAAATATGTTCACTCATTTAATGAATACCTCCTCAGTGAAATATCTCATTGATGATCAACAGTTTTCTGAAGCATGTGCCTTGGGGCAGAGTGGCTCAAAAGCTGTGCAGAGTAAAATCACCTGGGGAGCGTTGGTCAATGCTTGCCTGAACATGAGCTGGTAGTGTGCCCAGGTGGCCAAGGAGGCCAACAGCATCCTGGCTTGGATCAGGAATAGTGTAGCCAGCAGGACCAGGGAGATGGTTGTGCCCCTGTACTCTGCTCTGGTGAGGCCGTACCTTGAGTACTGTGTTCAGTTTTGGGCCCCACAGTACAAGAAGGACATCGAGGCCCTGGAGCGTGTCCAGAGAAGGCATACAGAGCTGGTGAAGGGCCTGACGCACAAGTGGCTGAGGTTGTTTAGTCTGGAGAAAAGATGGCTCAGGGGAAACCTCATTGCTCTCTACAACTGCCTGAAACGAAGTTGTGGGGAGCTGGGGTCAGCCTCTTCTCACAGATAACTAGTGATAGGACTAGAGGGAATGGCCTGAGGTTGCACCAGGGGAGATTCAGGTTGTAAATTAGGAGACGTTTATTCTCAGAAAGAGGGGTCAGGCATTGGCAGGGGTTGCTGTGGTGGTTTTACTCAGGTGATCAGCCAAGCTCCACCACAGCCACTCTCTCAAAGAGGAAGGGGGAGCAAATATGACACAAACAGCTCAAGGTTTGAGATCAGTATGATTTAATTAAAGGGAAAGGGAAGAACAAACAAAAGCAAAAGGCCATGCAGAAGCACAGAAAAAAAAAAGGGGAAAAAAGTTATTCTCTACTTCCCATCAACGAGTGATGTTTGGCCACGTCCTGGGAAGGAAGGCCTCAAAATGCATAAGGGTTGTTTGGGAGGACAGACTCCTTCCCCATGACAGCCCCCCTTTGTATTGCTGTGTGACCCCACATGGTATGGAATATCCCTTTGGTTGGTTTAGGTCAGCTGCCCTGGTGATGTCCCCTCCCCATCACTTGCCCACCCCCAGCCTGCTGGCTCTTGGGGGCTTAGAGGGAGCCCTGGTGCAGTGCCAGTATTGTGCAGCAATAGACCCAACACTGGAGTGATACCAGTGCTGTTCTAGCTACGAGTGCAGGGAAAGGTGACTCCACCCCAGACAGACCCAGTGCAGTTGCCCAGGGATGTGATGGTATCACCATCTCTCGGGGTGTTCAAGGAAAGGTTGGACGTGGTGCTTAGGGACATGGTTTAGCAGGTGGCATTGGTGGTAGGGGGATGGTTGGACCAGATGATCTTGAAGGTCTTTTCCAACCTTAATGATTCTGTGATATATGTGTATGCTGCAGAGGTACATGCAGTCAGATTTTTTTCAGAGCAATCTGAGCCTCAGAGACTTTGAGGATTTTAACTTATGCCTACCCCTATCTCTCTATGTATAGAGAAGTAGCTCTGCACCTTCAGGTGCATCTTAGTCATAACTGCAGCATCACTGAAGTGAGTCCTGTTTTATGGCTGAAGCTAACTCCAGATTTGGTTGTTTTCTCCTATTCCTTTCACTCGATTTTCTCTGCCTCTGCTTCTTTCTAAACTCTCTTAATTCCAACCACCAGACTTTTCTACCAGTCAGTTCCTATGTTAGTTACTAATCAAATGTAATAAAATTGCTGGTAGTAGGACATGGTCTTCAAGCAAGTGCCCTAGTAAGATTGAAGGAAGGAAGTATGTATCCCTGAGTCATTATCTGTTTCAGGATGCCTAATGAGTGAGAAAGAAAGGAAGGCAGGGGAAAAAAAAAAAAATCACAACTTGAAACAGATTTAATATGAACACCTATAAGCCTTAAACTGCAGAAGTGTCAGTGTGCCTATCAATCCCCAGGAGCACAAATTGCTCAGAACAAACCTGCCTTTCTCCAGCACAAGCAATTTAAGAACAATACATGCATACATAGCTAGCTCAAGGACTCCAGGCTAGCTAGACAAGCTCCAGGCATGGAAGACTTGATTGGTTTCACGCGTGTTAAGTTATGCAACTTCTTACAAGGGATGTGACCGCACTCTAATTTCAGTTAGGATTTCCTAACATCCCAGAACTAACCCTTTTAAAGCCATAGGGTTTTTTTATTCCCGTCTGTGGGTTACCACTCTTTGTTTTTGCTTTTGAAGCAACCACAGTAAAACATTCCCACATGTACACCAGAAAAGCTCAACCTACTGCAGCTTCTCTAACTACATCTTAATGAGAGCTTTAGCAGCAGGTGCTGCTTCAGTTCAGCCACTGTCACAATGTCCATCTCCTAGCAGATATTAGGGGGAAGTCACCTATGCAGATCTAGAGGCCTTAAGAGCTAACATCAAAACTTGTAAATGCAGATCTAAACAACAACTTGACTTCATGTCATTTGCAAGGATGTATTTCAAGTATTTTCATTTCAGTCACTGCAGTTTAAGATAGTTCCACTCCTGATCCCCTTCTGTTTTATAAATGAAGAGTGAAGGGACTGCTGTAATTCACTTTTGCCTGGTGTAGCTGAAAGTGTCAGCTTTTATGAAGGGAGGGGAGGATGCAGAACACTAGTAAGTTACTTCAACTAGAGGATACTATATTTTTTAAAACTTTAAATTATTTCTACAGCTTCAATTTGCATTAAGATTTTTTCCTCCCATGCCTCCTTGTACATATATAACGTTTCACTTTTCTGTATTGTTTTGTTTCACTTCTCATTTCCCTGCAAAACTGTTAAAGAACTAGGCATAGTGAGATTCAGGAGACAGCTATTTGCTTGATTGCCCCACCCCAGTTTATGAATAGAGTTTGATAGTTTCAAAGTCCAAATCTATTACTCAACTGTGTTTGAAGGAGCAGGATAGTCTCTTCACCTCTGGCTTCCCAGATGTCATTTCCTAACATCTGAGTTTCCTGTGTTATGTATTGCCATGTGCTTAAGTTATGAGCCAACGGTTTTCTGTAGCAGCAAACTTGTTTTCAGCTCCTTTCTCAGCAGCCTTGCCAGAATAGCGTCAGTTGTAACCATGGCTTAGACATGGCTCATGTTATTAGAACTAGAGCCAAGCTGATTCTTGCCATCATATCTGAGAAGAGAGGATTATATTATTTTGACCTCTGGATGGTCTTCTGTTTCCTGAACTCCCCAGATCTCCCTTGCTGAGGCAGCCCAGGTTGAACTAAGTTTGTTCTTTAAAGACTAGATATTCATGGTCTGTAGGAAATCAGAGCGTGCAAATTGACTATTGTCTTGATCAGCAGAACCAGCATGTTTTTACTACTCAACTTTGCCAGAGTTGGCACCGTCATTTCCTTCCCCGTTACAGCAGACAGACAATGCAAACATTGAGCTGCACCCAGAACATACATATCTTGCAGTTACTGTGAACTCTTCCTTCCCAAGCAGTGATGTTTTCCTATAACATCAATGCACTACGTTATCAAGGGAAGGGCATCTCTCTTAACTAGCCACGATGAAGGAATTTGCCTAACCTTCACGTTTCCTCTCCCCACATCCCCTGCCAGATACATGCATTTAGGGCAGGCAGGGCAAAGATGCCCAGAAGCATTTGTGAAATCCCAGAGGTGAGAGGAGATGGTGACAGGGAGTGTCGCTGCTCTTCCAGCTCTACCACATACCCAGAGCAAGGGCAAACCTCTGGCTGTTTCACTCCCATGCACTCCTCTCGGTCACACATATTAATGTTTCCGTCCTACCTGGGCTGGAAGCTAAGTTTTCCTTGCAGCTGACATGATTACAGCTAGTTAGCAGTGTGCAGCCAGCTGCCCGGGGCAGCTCAGTGTTTGGCACAGGCTGAACACACACACAAACACACACACTAACAGTGTGCTGCCACACACTGATCTGTTAGCAAAATACACAGCAATGACAAACACTGGCTCAGACATCTGCACATCCCACAGCAAGTACATTGGAGTTGTATTTCCAAGAGATTTTAAAAGACAGCGTCACAAAGACATGACCCAGAAGGAATTAGAAGCCTCTTTGTGTTGGGATCTATAGAGTAGAAGCTGTTAGAGCTGCTACTTGCTCCTATAGCAAAATTTATATTATTTTCCATAGTTTGTTCGTTTGTTTTTTCCTTCCCTTGAGATGAGGAGAGACCCTTTCCTGACAGGACAGACTGCAACAACATGCAATTAAGAGGACAAGAATGAAAGCTCCCTGAGGGTACCCATGTTGACGTGCATCTCTTATTTTCCCAAATCCTCCACTGGGAGAGGCAAAACCAATAATTTTAAAGCTAGAAAATTTCCCTGAAAAAGGTTCCCCTGCAAAACAGTCTGTGAAATAGGTGGGCCAAGCTAGAGAGTGAGAGGTCAACATTTAATCAGTGATTAAAACTCATGTAGGTCCCCTTACTGCAGGACTAATTGTACTGCCTTCTCCCATGTTTCTTCCCTCCTCACTAAGAATGGAAGCAGCAAAGAGTAAATTAATTTGTACTAGAACCATCCAACCAGTACGTATACTTTGGGGAGATCTAACTATAGAAACTCTTGGGCCCACGGTTAGGGTCTGCTAAGTCCAAGGAGCACAGCAATGCCTTGCTGAGTACACAGTCATTTTATGGCACTAGGATCTGGTTGTGCCACACCCTAGATGAAGTCCTAATATTCTCAAGAGCAAAAACACCTAATTAAAATGCTAGAGGGTTGTATGGCCCATCAGTCTGAGGGATCTGATTTCCTCATGGGAAACAGACTTTTGTCCTCACAGACTATCCTCCTCTCAGCCTCTACACAATTCACCCTTTGATGACCTCAGTACAGCCACAAGTTTGATGACAGTCATGGTATGAAACCACCATGTGAATTTACAGGTATCTTCTGAACAGTGGTTTCACGGATGAAGTTGAACATCTGGATTCAGATGCAAAAGTGACACGCAACTTGGCTGGCTCACACTGGC